CGACAATCTCACAAAGAGATGGACAGTATCGGCTAATAGCACTTATGGACAAGGACAGCACTGATTCAACCAATTGCGGCAAAATTGTGCGATTTCCTGGAACGAGTCAGAAACGCTGCCGTTCTGCAAAGTTCCCATACAATCACGGTGCACTTTATCATCATTCACATCTCGAGCGCTACCTAGCAACACCGCGGAGGCAGAACTGCTCAGTAATGCAAGGCTTCTATGAAGAAGAACGACAGATAATCGCTAATCATCATGAAGAAAACCGTCATCGATAGACCAATCCAACAATCCTGGGGCAGTATCGGTGCTGTCTTCGTCGATCAACAACCCACCAAAACGGACATAATAGAATGACATGAACAGACCGAAAAAGTAGGGCGAAAATCTCAATACATTCTCAAATTCCAAGGCTGCAACGAAAAATACCACAAAAATCAGGGATTTCGCTCAAATTTTGAGTGAATAAATATACCTTCGAAAGTTCCTGAAAACTAACCCAGTTTTGATAAACAGATCCTTCAAAATTGGCGCGCTAGAGCATGTGTTACTGCTGGAAAGTCGGTGAAAGTTTGGGTTTAGTTTGGTTTGTTTGGGGGGGGGAGAAGTGATCCAACCAAAGGCTACGTAGCATTCATTGTCCTTGTCATATTATTCTATTGCTGCCTTGCTGATTCTTCATTTTAACCAAGCCACCTTGCAATCGCCATGCAGCCCTTCAAGAAAATGCCTTTAAGGTCCCCGATTTTGTACGGAATCCCCTCTTAGCATCCCCATCTAATCGTACACTCAAAGCCTGTGCTCTGAATGTTGATTAGATATGTTTGAGTTTCCTTCCGAGAAGTATGAGTGCCCACCTCCCCCCCCCCCCCCCATGTACATTTTCACCGGAAAGTCATCTATCCCGTAATTTCACGAGGTTACCCTGCTATTGTCACTCTGCCGTGCTAATTGAGGGTGTCTTCCATTAAACCCCAACCACATTATCGTCATTACTCAGCAATTATCTCTGGCCGCTTACAGATCTTTCACATTTCATTGTAGGACTGGAGAAGCAAATCTTCTTAGGCAAGTAGTTACCCATGAACAAAACTAAAGAACAGTTCCTTCCAGCAGAAGAGGCGGATCGAGAATCTCTGTTACTTAGCACTCTTTGAAGACGCAGATACCCAATGGTAAAGCCTTTCAAAATATTCGCTTGGTCACATATAAGCTGCTGGCAATCACTCAATATGCTACGTGCTAGTACTGGAAGTGAAAATGTGTCAAACATAAATATGAAACTGGAGCGGAAGCTTTGTAGTGCTCATAAAAGTGACACATTCATGATCACTTCCGTTCTCCTGAAGAATGACAGTTACTGCAGTAAAGTATTACAAAAACTTCCCAGGTTCAAGGCTGTCAAACAAGTTTCAAGCGGCAGGTTTTGTTGCAGCGTGCTGTGCTAATCTTTCTTCGATATTCTAGAAAACGTCATGAAAACAGAAAAGCTGGCTAATTGGTTTAGCTGGAAAGATTGCTCCGATGAGAAATCCTCAAAGACAGCGTTCAGCTTGCGACGCATGGAGATCAAACGGAAAAGAAAATAATAGGATGCGAAGAATGCTCGTGAATGAAATTGCAAATAGAGCTAGGGCTATTAACCGTTATATTGGCACTGAGAGCATGGTCAATCCTCACGTTCGCACTTTTTCAAAAATTCTGCGACCCTGCCCCTTTTGGGTGAGTCTCGATGCGACTCCCACCACCATCATCAAGCTTAGAAGGCTTTCCCCGCTACGATCCCCAATCCCGCTTCCCCGACCTCCACCCTCGCCATCATGATTTTTATAGTATTTAATTCTGAGCAAGTCGACACACCCCGACTCCGCTCACTCGAAACCAAAACTGTCAGCGGGGAGGAGGGGAAGTCAGAATCAACCAACTTTGCCTAATTCTCACTACTTTCGTAAATCCTTTACCAAACCAAAAAATCTTTCCAAACACAACCTCCTTTAGCAACCTCCGTTCCACTACGACAACCTTACCTCAACTTCAGAATGCGACCTCCTCCCTACAACACAATCACAAATGCGACCTGCTCGTTTGAATAATGCGGACGGCTGGTCCTGATTAGGAGCAAGCTGAACCGTGCACATCGAAAGTACGTGAAACCACCGACAATAAACACGGTTCTAGCTGCAAAAAAGAAGAAAGAAGAAGCAGATGAAGCTATGCAGATACCATCAGATACCATGGCCGTTGTGGTGAATCCGACCCGATCCAATCACTTGTCCTTTACTTTCCTGGCAACACTGCGGAATACTGTACAAATCTATCAGCGTTGAACCTCAGCCTTTTCATTCAGCTCCTTTACAGAACACAAGGCTCCGCAAATTCCAACTCTTAGTAGAACTCCGGATTATTGTTACATTAATGTTCCTCTTCTGCCAGTTGGTGGTTTGAAGGACATTTCTCAAACACTGAACCGTTTAGGCCTTTGAGGAAGACGATTTCGACGAAGCGACAAGGCCACTAATGAAGACTTGACCTAGAACATCGCCGGCAGAAGAAGAACATCATAAGTACGGAAAGTTCTTTTTTTGTCATGCTCAACGAACATTCCTGGACGCCACTGATTATGACGGAGATCCGAGCGATTCCTGAGACACATGTCACACCAGGGGCAAAAACCGGGTACCAAATCTAACTCGATAATTCAGCCTTTCGAATTCTTGGGTGCACAATGGGTGATCAAAACTTCTGAGGCCATACCATGTCCTTTTCTCCTCCCTTTGACCAGAAGCGATGTTCTCATGATGCCATGACACCTGTACGTGCCGAAAAGTGCAAGGCGGGCCGCCCACAGCGAGGTAACTGTTCACCTTAGGCAGCAGAAAGAGAGGGATGCGCCCAACAAAACAACATTGTGCTGTTCCCGTTCACGACCAGGAGGGATAACAAACGGCCTCTGCTCCAAAAAGGATCGATTAACTCAGATATCACGAGATTCCACTGACGTAAGCAGTGGACATGCACATGGTTGCTATGCCAATTAAAGCAATTTCGACTAGAAATCTGGCAAACTCAACAATACCTTTTTCTCTCCATCCCAATGCGCTGATACAGCCGGTGATGGACGTGATGTAGAAACCATGGGAGATTCTAAACAAGTACCCCTGCTGTTACCTTGCCCTCTCACTTCTCGCTGTCAGTAGCCACGTACGGTCGACACACAAAGCCCCATTTAGGGGCATGTGTTTTGATGCCTTAGAAGGGAGCAAAACAAAAGCGAGACGTGAATCGGACAGGGTGAGTTCAAAAAACGCCCCCATAAATGGATTTGCCTCGAACCATTCCCTTCGTCATGCCAGCTTGAGTCAACAATAGCGCGCACCAGCTGCATGTGGACCCCGCAGAGCAACGCGTTCAACATTCGTCACCCATGGCCACAAGTGGATAAGAGCCCGCGTTCGAACAGATTACCCAATTTGGCTTGGGGCGTTGGCTGGGTCCAAGCGTGTTCGGGAAGAGAATTTAATTAACTGGTCTTCATGAAGGGGCAAGCGTCCCGTTGTCAAAGTGAATTGCTGAAATGACGACATGCCATTGACATCCATGTGACATGTGGACACAGCCGCAAAGCGACAGGCAGCTGCATGTCGTGCTGCACTATCATATATGTATACTGCGGACATCTCATCCATATTTAAAGCGCGGAATCAACACTCGGAACGGAAAAAGTGCGTCATCAAATGTGGCAATGATTCAGAATGGATGGCCTCTAGTTACTGTAGCAAAAGCTTCCTTTTAGGCCCTGAATAATGCCCTTTTTCGGATAATAAAGAATAAAGCATTTCGTGTTGATCAATCCATTCTTGGGATGCGACACGCATTCTACTTCTATTTGTAAATTCAGAACTCCTGAATGGAATTGGGAAACATGAATATGGCGTACAACAAGGATGGTTAAAGGATGAGACGGAAATAGAAGTACAGCTGAAGACGATGAACTGTATGCATGCTCCATACGATGCGGACAACGAATAAGTCCGTCTGGTGAACGGTGAGCATTGAATCGATGGAGTGGCATACGGTTAAGAAGCATTTCGCTTTCCCGGTAATGTTCCTTAAGAAGGAGTGTTTCGGCAGCAGCGTACTGAAGTGGCAGGCACATGAATGCGATGTGGCCTATACAATGACTTGCGGGGCCAGCCGATGTACAAGTCAGTGTTTTTATCCTCCCAGACAAGTCTGGTACCAATTAACCGACCCCGGAGGGATGGAAGGCTTGGTTGGCCCGGGCGACTCACGACCCAGGATTTGATCCCCGGACCGCTCGCGTGGTAAGCGCGCCACTTGCCACTACACCACTTCCGCCCATTTTTCGGATATCGAGCAAAAATTATACGATGTTGAAGTGAAAGCATCAAGATACCATAAGATTAGAAGACATACTGAAGGTCGGATCATGCAAAATGTTAGGAACGCTGGAGAAGTGAATTTTGGATCCCAGTAAATCAAGAAAAGACCCCAGCAATAGCAAAACCTTATCCAAAGCTCACTATTCTTTAGAAAAAGTTTAGGAATAAATGAAGGATTTACGATTAATGGAATCAGATAAAAAGGCTCATTCTAATGGAAGCATTCAGTGCGACATTCAAGACGTACGTAATATGACCTCGAGAAAGGCAAAGGCATTAAATTGACTGCAATCCTGTCGTACAAGACGGGAAAACCTCGTCATCGCGTGCGCTAGCCGAACACAAAACAGCGGCTTGGAACGAGTGGAAGCCGGTTGAACCAGCTGAGAAACACAAATCGGAAAACGACCAGTTTGACAGCGGCAACAAAAAGATAAAGTAGCACCATAAATGTTACAATAACACCATAAAACATCAGAATCATTAAAAGCGGCTGTGATGAAACGAAATCAAAAAGACATCGCTCAAAATGAGCAACGGTTGGTACGAAGAACGAAATAATGAAAAGAAATCGAAAAAGAAAAGCAAACGAAGAGGGGGAAATGCGGGGAAGTCCCGAACATATTTTACCTTGAGTGCGACGAAGTTATTCGTGAGCAGTGAACGTCCTCGGTAGACGGTCGCATAAGTGCCTTCCCCCAGTTTGTCCAACTTCTCGTACGTTTCCAACTTGCCGAAGCCAATTTCGCTCTGAAATGCATTCATCGTTCCCGAGCGAACTTCTGATGGGAACACAAATGGCTCTGATCGTACCAGAGAAGCTCGTCGATTTTTCCTCGTCAACGGCTGGTCGAGCGTTGGTGTTCGATTCAACTTCTCGACAACGCTCACAGGAAGTCGCAAGTCGGCCGGCAGCGATAACCGTTTTTGGATTTCCTCCTGCAATTACAAATGGTCAGGACAAGAACCTAAGACAGCAATGCCGGAATAGCCAAACCTCGCTCCATTTTCTGGACGGTTTCTGACGCATCTTCACATTGACGATATACCGTGGTGGGACACCCGTAGGAGTTTGGTCTGACGTGCACGGTGAGACCTCGACACTTTCGCCGTCTGAGCCAAGAGCCGGCGATTCTTGCACAACTGCTAGAGAAACAAACATTACTGATCATGTTAGGTACTTTGGCTGCAGTTTTTGGGCTGAAGCTGAACAAAAAAGAAGAATAAGATGATTCGAGAAGTTTTTCATCTAGGAATTTTTCTGAGAATGACAGTTTGGACGAACTTTCAGTGGTTTCCTATTTTCCCTTGATCGAAGCAAACTTTCGAATTTCACAGGTGGTAATGGAGCTGTCAACGGCAGATGATATAGAACATCTGCTAGCGGAATGCGCATGGAACTACGCAGTTATCTAGCTAGTCGCACCAACGAGAACAGGACGATAAATAGGTCGTCGAAATACGTTACGAAACCCACGACATTGCTGCCCACAAAACAGAACAGTCAAGATTCGCAATGCACGATAAGGGTATGGGACAAAAGGAGACCGCTTTTTACGAAAATAAGCAGATTTACGCAAAGGAGCTGGAAGATCGCGTACGTAGGTGTCTGATTCGTCAAAGGAGCGCCATCAGGCCACTTACACAATGACATCGATGGTCGGATGAACGACCTGTGAGTGCGTTTTTTCGACATAAAGAGGCTGAGCCAGTTGGCAAACGACGACGTGGCTGAGGCTGATTTGGTGACGTGGTTACGTCGAATCGGCGGCGGTCGTTCTTCCTCATTGTCGTCGTCGGCATCGGTGCCGTCGGCGTGGTCGGCCTCAGTCTCCCGAATCGCTGCTTCATGCATGGCAGCATTGTGTGACGAAGGAGATGCACAGAAGTCGTGGAATGTGGCCGACTTGGAGAGCTTCGACATGGCGACTCACCAGCCATCCACTGGACACTCCTATTGATCGCTCCGCCTACCCTCAACACTAGTAGGAGGCGAGGCGGGCGAACGAGCGCGCAACCGTCAGCGTCGGCTAATTATGTGCCTCACACCCCCGAAGCCGTCGGAGGAAGCGACCGCTGGCAGCGCAGTGTTGCATTGTCGGCATCGGAACGGTCTGCGCTTGCGCTTACACGACTCATTGCGCCATTATAGGGTCATCAGAGCTGGCTGACAGTGAATGCTATTCACAGCTGAGCATTTGTGACATGAGATCCATAACTGGCATTTACCCACCCGCAGTCCACAACGCCGCTCTCAGGCGCGCGATATCCCGCACTCCCTCACAAATGAGATAATAACATCTGGCGGACAACATGTGGCAAATCGGACGAGGAAGCACGCCGACCCTCGCACGCAATCACGAACGTCTTCTGAGGACGGCAACGCTCCCCTGCTATAGGACGTTCTTTTTTGAAAGCGCTTCGCGGAGCGTTTCGAGAGCAGTTCTAACGTGGATGACCCTTAAGCGATTATGGTACTATCAAGATTTCCACCAGAAAGATTCTATATATTATTTATTTATGAAGAAGTCAAATAAACCAAAAAGAAAACTATTGAGAGAAAACTGCTAAATTATAGTAATTCCATGCTAGAACTATGTTTGTTTATTTATAGTTATTTTCATTTACCCAGTGAGCCCGCTCAGTAGGTGTACAAGGCATAATTAAATAGAATTACTACGAGCAACCTAAAGGGATCAGTCGTGGTCAGTTGTAGCCATAGCAATTAGTAGCGGGAAATATTAACGAATAAATTGATATAAAGAACTCCATGAAAGATGAGCCTGCCTGAAAGATTTCTTGATTCACTCTGAACAGCGCATTAGCTCAATCCTTCAACCTTTTTCTGAACTTGGAAGCGATAACGCGATGGCGTGCTATCAGAATAGTTTTTAGCAAGC